TTGTGTTTGGGCCCCCCCTGGACGAGCAAGCATAGGCACGTGCCTAGAATGCCTATGCATAAATCCGGCCCTGCCTTTAACTATAGCTTTTATAGTTATACGTTAACAATAGTTTTACATATTCATACTTCTTAATGATGCGGCCATGTTTGTCATACACAAATAAAGCTAATATAGAAATAAAGAGTAAAATATAGATGTAAGAGTATAAGAAAAATTACAAATACATTAGCACATGCACTCAAACAAAGCATTATATTTAATAAATAGGAATAAATATCTAAGAAGCAGTTTTGTTTTTGTTTTGTTTTGTTTTTTTATAGCTTTTGTTCATTATTTGATGCAGTGTTTTGTCTTTATATACCAAACCAAAAAACTACATACTTCAACAACACAGGTAAAAGACAGGTAAAACAAGATGGATCAGATGCTGGAAGAGAACCTTAGAAATATCGGTCATTGTGATTCTAAACTAAACAGAACAATCTTCAATGAAACAGCATATGCAGTCAATTTTACTTCTCTAATGAGACATTTTTCCTATACTAAAAACTGCATATTCCGGGGAAAAGGTGGGGGCTTGATTTTATCCATTGGGAATTAATTAGAACGTAAACAGAGCGCAAGCAGTCCTAAATTGTGAGCATACAGCTGATCCTCATATTTATTGGAGCCTCTATTTGCTGGGAAGCGAGACTGAAAGCCAAGTTAAACTATCTTGGCATATATAGTTAATGCTTCTTTTTTAAAGCTCTTTTTTTCTTAATAAACATCAACCAGCATTAAATTGCTGCATTAACTATTAGTAAGATTTTATACTATTTTATATACAGTAGCCTAAAACAATGCCTAAATAGCTATTTGGTTATTATTAGCCTTAGCATTATTAGCAAGTGATGCCAGCTGACAGTTGTTTTAGAGGTGGAGCAAGTTACATTTTGGTGAAAGATTACAATGACTAATTAATTAATGTTCCATAACTCAAACATTAAAAATTAAAGTATTAATGCTTTTTAAATTACGTCAAATTTAATAGCAGGTGGAAAGTTACAGCTTCACAAAATCTCAACTTAAAATCCCACTTTTTGCCATTTAATTAAAAATAAACACATTATGATTTTTCCTCACTATTTTCTTCCAATTTTTTCATGCACCAGTGATAAAATGTAAGTTGCCGAAGTGGCTAACCTGTACTTCACCACTAATATTTTCTACATAAGTACTATAATTATCAATATATAGTAAACATTCCTAATTCTAAAATGTCCCTTTAATCACAAGTGTGTACTCTCCCCACTAAAGTGATTGAGCAGTTTTTGAGCAGACTCCAGACCAACCATCCCATTTCTATCCTCTCCAGCACCATGGCTGTTCACTTCTCTCCAATTACATACCATCTCATCTGCGTACAACACTTATCTGATGCCGGCTTGTGACTGGTAGAGGTCCATCATGGATTTATCACTCCTCAGATGGCCGTGATGATCCTGCTGCTGCTCTTGCTGCTTCAGAAGCCCAATGGAATGGATCTCTTCCAGGCTAGCAGAGAGCACGCGAATGGGAGAGCCCAGGTTACGTACCTCTATGATCTGATAGCTATCGAATACTGGACCATCAGGACTCTGCTTGAAGCGAGCCAGGCTGGTATCCTCGATAGGTAGGGTTTCAGGGTGAACGGTGAATTTGAGATGTGGTATCTGTAGGCCATGATGAGCTTGATAACATTTGCTTTCCTCGCCCCCAGATTCGCTCTCTGTATCTATGATTCCCTTCGAATACTGGTTCACCCCCTCCCAACTGCCTTGGCTCTGTTGCCATTGGAAATACGACGCATTTCCATTACTTCCCTGTGAACCTCTCGGGATGCAGTTTTGTGCCTCCTCTCCCATTTCTGACCAATCAGATTCCTCCTCCTCTGGGAGGGTTCCCAGCGATTGGACATCGGCATGCATGGAGATTTTGTCATAATGATTACTGTCCATGAACTGAGCTGGAGGTGGTGCAACTGGAAGTGGAGTGATGGGATCATCAGACTTCAGATGTTTCACCAGGGCATCCTGTAGCATTGATGTCACCTAAAGGTACAGGAATGTCTTAAATTAAGCCAACTAATTCTCGTTAGAGACATATTTGAAATAAGCACGAATGAACTAAATATTGTATGTAAGAGTTTATGTAATACAAAAGATTTGAATAATAAGACCAAATGTTGTGAGGAACATTTCCAAAAGCAAAATATACAAATGTCAATATGCTTTTTATTTCTAAAATACATTTGCTATTAAAGGGAATGAAATCACAAAATTCCTCACTGTGAGTTTTTCTCACAAGCTTTATTTATTTTTGTAAAATAGCCCCTTATATTCATCATATTCAGTATCTTGACTGAGCTATGATATTTTTGAATGGAAATATTTAAAGTAACTATGTACTATGAAGGGCGTCAAATATGAATATTACTAATTATAATGAAATCAAACTCTCACATTAATGGTCTCTAGACTTTGGATGGTTGTCTTTGCTGCAGACAGTTGTTCTGTGAGCTCTGAGATCCGCTCGTTCAGTCGCTCTCGCTCTCCATCCATATTTTGAGCCTAAATTGAAGTAGCAAAAAAGACAGGAAAGTGAATACAGTCAATAATAATTTGTTGGAATTTTAAAGTTTTTATGTAAATCAATGGCCTACTGATATAATGTAATTATGAAACCATTTAAATAAATGGGCTTAATTAGGCTGGAACAATTAAATAAGTCTGAAGGGTTAAATTGGGCTTTACCACACAATGCAGTTTTTTCTCCAGAAGGTGATTGGTTTGTTTTGTGCAGGAGTAGTTGTCCTGAAGTCTGATGAAATAGAAAGACATAGAAATCTATATAATATATTCACATGAATGCTTTGAAAAAACTACAAATTTCATGTTCTAAACACAGACTGGGTAGCACTAAATTAAGCATAGTTTAGAGCAGGGGTGTCAAACTCAGCTCCTGGAGGGCTGCAGCCCTGCAGCGTTTAGTTCCAACCCTGCTCAAACACACATACCATGTAGTTTTCAAATAACGGTGCATTCCAAACGTGATATATCGCCCTCCGAAGAGCACTTCGGAGTGTATACAATCATAGCCGCCATATTGAAGGGTCGTTCCAAACCGAAGTGCTCAAAACTGGTCACTTCAAAGGGCCCTTCGGAATGAAGGATTTCGAAGGCTACAACTGATGGACACTTTATTCTTTGCATGATGACGGTGCCTCCGTGTGGGCACGTGATGATGATGCAGAAGGGCACTTCAAGAAACAGTTGTTTGGTCCCCTACACCCTTCAACCCTTTGAAGCTCTCACTCCGGAGGGAAAACTGTTCCTGTAGCTCAGTGGTAGAGCATTGTGTTAGCAGTGTAAAAGGTTGTGGGTTTGGATTCCCAGGGAACACACATACTGGTAAAAAATATATAGCCTGAATGCACTGTAAGTTGCTTTGGATAAAAGCGTCTGCTAAATGCATAAATTATTAAACACTTTGAAGGGATTAGGGCATAGGGATGAGCCTTTCCGAATGGAACGCAGGGTTCGTCTGAAGGACCTGATCAGGTGTGTTTAATTAGGGTTGGAGCTAAACTCTGCAGGGCTGCGGCCCTCTAGGAATTTAGTTTGAGTTTGACACCCCTGGTTTAGAGCAAATCATTGATTGGTTGGTCCAGGTTTTATTTTAAATAATGACAAATATACAATTTGTCTTTGACTAAAAACAGAAATAATATTACAATCACCCTTTTGAAAAGTGCAAGCTTACCTCATGGTTAAACAGAGATCCAAAGCATAAATAGCTCACTCACCCTTGTAAAAAAATAAGTACACTTCAGCCAAATTTTGAAAAGATTATTTATTATGAAAATAATATACTTTAAAAGAATAGACTTAAGTGCAAACTGGATATGGTGTTTTAACTGACTCAATTAATTGGAATTATATGAAAATATATTAACGTTTACATTTTTATTAAATGCAATTAGCTGAACTTTAGAGTGTTTTCTGAACCACTTAAGTACATCTTTATATGTGATTTAATAATTAATAGCTCATCATGTATAAATTATCATACCAAATAACACTACAGTTAAAATTATAATCAAGTTCTTTACATGATGTTACATGTCTAGTATGTTCTGTTTTTATTGGTTTTAGTTCTGCTCCCTGTGACCTAGTTTTCCTGAGTTGTCTTTATTCATCATTATATCCACCTGTGTCTTGTTAATTAACTCATCAGTTCCTTTGTTTGCTTTGTGTACTTAAACCCTTAGTTCTGCCTTTGTCTCTGTCTGTTCTTGTTGATTATTTGGTATGTACAGTATCTACTGGTTTATTATTATAGACTATTTCTTCTTCTTATAGTCTATTTCTTCGTATTATAGTCTTATTCATATCGTGTGAGTGTTTTATACTATCAAATGTTACAGAAGAACGGACCCTTTACTGATCAGCATGGACTCACCTGCTGTACTACTGCTATGCTTGGAACAGGACAGAAAAGCCTTGAGGCCCACACCTGTGGATTCCTCTATCTGGCGAGCCTAACAAACTTTCCCAATTGCTCTTTGTGCTCATTCTACCTGGCCAGTATGAACAAGCACACAAAGGCTCAACTACCTGGTGTGGGTCCTTGGGAATCTTTCACCAAATTTGTTGAGTGGGTGCTGGTGTGCAACGGATCCCCGTACAATGTCTGCCCCTCTGAAGAAGAACTCACCAGCACCGCTCCGACTCCAGCACCACCAGAGACCAGCTATCAACCAGCGAGCGAACCGACAGGGATTCTTTTAGAACCTATCACTGTGATGGACGAGCCTGAACCAAGGAAGAGGTATGAGGGAGCCATCGCCCCGGAGCCCGTTCCACAACATGAGTCTGACCAGGTGCGTGACTCCAGCACCACCAGAGACCAGCTATCAACCAGCGAGCGAACCGACAGGGATTCTTTTAGAACCTATCACTGTGATGGACGAGCCTGAACCAAGGAAGAGGTATGAGGGAGCCATCGCCCCGGAGCCCGTTCCACAACATGAGTCTGACCAGGTGCGTGACTCCAGCACCACCAGAGACCAGCTATCAACCAGCGAGCGAACCGACAGGGATTCTTTTAGAACCTATCACTGTGATGGACGAGCCTGAACCAAGGAAGAGGTATGAGGGAGCCATCGCCCCGGAGCCCGTTCCACAACATGAGTCTGACCAGGTGCGTGAGCCGGCAACTCCGTGGACCGCCGAGGGAGTGTTTGTGGAGCTCGAGGACTGGGAGGAAAGCCCTGCCCACTTGCTGTGTGTAAATCTGATATGGCTTCTGGTGGATATTTTGAGGAACTTAAGGACACATTTTTAGGAGGATGTTATTGACCGGTTTGAGGAGGTAAAACGCAATTCTCTTGAGTTTCCGCTGGTTCCGTCCAGCTCTCCTGAGCTTCCTGTGTCTCCCAAGTTCCCACCGAGCCTCCCTCTCCCACCTCCTCAATCCGCCAGTTCCTCAGCTCCACTTCCGCTCCTGTCCTTCAGCCCCACTGCAGCTCCCAATGACATGGAGGACCTGCCCAGTGTCTTCAGGCCATCAACTCCACCCAGTACAGAGGATCCCCTGGTTCCAACTCTAGCCTCCATGCCCATTGCTCCACCTCTGCCTGTCGACACTTCGGCTCCACCTTAGCCCTTCCCTTGGCTCAACCGAAAACCATCGGCCATATGGCTTCTCTGGGCTCCCTCGTCCCTCCGGCTCCACCTTGGTCAGCCATCGACCTGCCTGCACCTTCGGCTCCGTCTGCCTCTACCTTCACCCTCGGTTCCACCGGTTCAGCCACTGTCCTCTGGTTCCCTGGTTCTACCTCGGTCTCCAGGACCATCAGTGTCACGTGGGCTTTTCAGCTCATCAGCTCCACCTGGGTCTCCATAATTCATGGCTGCATCTCCATCGGTAGTCCACAGGGTGTCATCTCCTATCACCTTCTACTTCACCCTGGGGCCTCGTCCTGGTTGGCCTCTGGATTACCATCCTGTTCTTGGCTCCTCACTGGCTCCTACCACCATCCATTCCCCCATGGACTGTATCTTCTGTCCTGGACTCTTTGGCTGCATTCCAGTCCATTTTTTTTAAATGCCCTTCACTCACAAACTTCCCTCCATCTCATTTACTCGGATGTACTTCATTGATTATGTTGCATGAGTGCCCACTTCTGGCGGAACCTTTGGAATGGGCTGAATTGGAACGTCCTAATCCCTTGATCACTTAGCATCCACTATGGAGTTGGATTATTGTCTACATTTTTCCCCTTATGAATTTGTTTGATGCAGCATTCTATGTTATATTCTATAGCTACATCAAAATTCTTCTTTAAAGAACAACAAAAGATTATTCAAACATAATGATTTGAATGTACTTTAAAGTAAAACTTTTAAATTGACATTACAAAGTGCACCTTTTAAAAGTGTACGTAAGTTTATGACACATGAAATTGTCCGTCTTTAAGTATACTACAAATGCACATTAGGCTCACTACTTTTTTTTTGAGTGAAGTATGGATTAGCTCAGATGAAATAGTGAAATCTTCAGTGCTGTTTCTCTTGTTAGAGCAAATCTTATATAAAACCATCAAAAGCTAAAGCAACAGATTTGTTGTTAAATGTCTTAAATTATTCTTTGTTATAAAATTCAGCATGGTCGAGACTGCTCTCATATATCCTCTTTATATATCTATTCAACATTAAAATATATGGTCTACTAAATGAGTTAATGTAGTGTATGTATATAGTGCATGCTGAAGCACGTGCATTGCCCACAGAACCAAAAACCCTGACTGTTTTTAAACAAGGCTGAAGTTTTAGCTCAAATTATGCTAAAACAGTATTTTTGAGCAGGTCTAATAGAATATAATAGAATAGAATGTGATAGCACAGTACAGTTTAGTCTTGTGTCTCACCTTGTGAACCACTCCATTAAGCTGCTAAGCTCTACGCGAGTTCTTTGTAACTCAGATTCAAGGAGCTGGTGTCCGGTTTTGAACTCAGCTCCCATACATTCCATTCGCATAGTGGTCTGCAGCAAGCTGTGTTGGAGAGCCTCATTCTGCTCCTGTAACATCCTGGATGGAATAAACATACAGACAGTCCATCAAGCATGCCTCCAAGAAAACACAAACTGCAAGATACAGAACGGTTTTATTAGCTATGACATGCCAGGAAGGGATCATTTGTATCTAAGTGCGTCTTAAATCAAATTGTTTCTCTACCACCCAGACTAAGCTGAAAAGCCATGTCCAGAACCAAAGGTAAGGCAATTAGTACTTTAGCAGGCAGAATGCAAAAAAAAATGCAAAGAAACAAAAACTCACATTAACCTCTCCAATTCTGAATCCTTTTCCTGTGTAAACATGAAAGCAGAGTCAAACGTGGAAAACCACAACAGCAAATAATCATCAGTATATATAAATATATACCAAAGCAATAAGCCCCAAGAAGCCGTGGTTTACAGTGAATTTATAACAGCTAAGGGGCATTGTTCCCTAAAACCCCCTTAGCTGTTATAAAAATGTTATTCCATATATGTAGCAAGGTTGTACAAAATAACACAAAGTAAATCAAATGTAATGATTTTAATAAAAACATTCCTCCGCTAAACAATGGTTTTCAGAAATGGTTGTGGTTGCAACAATGTAGTTGCAAAGTAACACACAGAAACAAAGAGGTGTATGTTTGTAGAGTAATTTACAACAGCTTTGAACACAGCTCAACCAATCAGAATCAAGGACTGGAACTATCCATTTTATACATTTTCATTCTACTTCAACACTATGGAAAAAATTCTCACCTTTGGGAATGAGGATGACTCTTGGTAGCTCACTGTGGATTGATCGTCCTGGATAGTGGAGCTAGCAGTTGAATCTGACTTGTTAGAATGTGGAGAAGTAGACCGTTGGCCAATTGGTGAGTGGCGAAGATGGCTTGGGTGATCATCCTCTTTGAAGTGGGAATGATAATGGTTTGATTCAGAATGAAATTGGTGATGTCCCATATGGGAATGTTGATTCTGCGATTCTGGATGGTCATAGTGATGATAGTGATCTTGGGAATGATGATGGTGGGATTCTGGTTGGGAATGATGATGAGATTCTGAATGCTCATGTTGTTGAGGATGATTAGTCTCTGGATTGGAATGGTGATGGGCATTTGAATGGGAATAATTGTGGGATTCTTGAGACTTGTGGTGACGGTAATGATCTGATTCAACAGGGGGGTTATCATGACTTCCTGAGTGGAAATGGTTAGTATGAGGTTCTGGAGAATTGTGATCACTTTGGTGGTGGAATTCCAAATTGGAAAGGTGTCCTTTAGAATGTGATGTGCTGTGATTTTGGGACTCTGAACATGAATTGGGATTATTTTCATAATGATGGGGTGAATTAGATTGTACAGGACTTTTTGGATGACTGTCAGACAAGTGATGTTGATGAGGATTATGGTGAGTGTCACTGTGAGAAGAATGATAATGGTGTTCAGGTGTAGAGGATGCATCATGTGAATGAGAATATTGGTGAGTTTCAGTGTGTGAATCATCATGGAAATTATGGTGCTCTGGTTCTGAATCTGAAGTGTGATGGTGATGATCAGGGTTTGATGAGTGATTAGGATGGGAATGATGATGGTGATGATGCTGGTGAGACTTGGGATGAGAGGACTCATAGTCAGAATGACAGTGTTGAGATTTCACACAAAACTGATGGTGTGTTTCTGAGTCAGTAGAAAGATGAGACATACTACTATGCTGTTCTCCATGGTGGTGGAGAGAAGGAGGTGAATAGTGATGAGATTTTGGATGGGAATGGTGGTGGGAAGTTTCTGAATGGGTGGAATGATGATGTGATGTGTGGTGACTTTCATGGTGGGGATGTGGTGGCGAAGGTGAATGATGATGGTGGTGTGATTCTGCATGAGAAGGATAGCTGTGAGCTTCTGGATGATGGTGAGTTTCTGATTTAGAAGAATGTATTGGACTGTGGTAAGATTCATGACGGTAATGTGATGGAGAAGGGGAATGATGGTGGGAATCTGAATGAAGAGAGTTATGGTGTGGTGATGGGCTACGATTAGTTTCATGATGGTGATGTGATGGTGAATGATGGTGATGAGATTCTGAATGGACATGATGGTGTTGATATTCTAGTTGGGCATGATGGTTATGGGATTCTGAATGGACATGATGGTGAAGGGATTCTGGTTGGGCATGATGGTGATGAGATTCTGGATGAGCATGATGGTGATGAGATTCTGGATGGGCATGATGGTGATGAGATTCTGAATGGGAATGATGGTGATGAGATTCTGGATGGGCGTGATGGTGATGTGATTCTGGATGGGCGTGATGGTGATGAGATTCTGGATGGGAATAATGGTGATGAGATTCTGGATGGGCATGGTGGTGTTGGGGATCTGGATGGGCATGATGGTGATGTGATTCTGGATGGGTATGATGGTGATGAGATTCTGAATGGGCATGATGGTGATGAGATTCTGGATGGACATGATGATGGCGGTTTTCTGTTTCTGGAGAACAAGGACATGAAGGTGAGCTATGATTATCTTCGTTGTAATGGTGGTGTGATGGAGACGGTTTGTGGTGTGAAGTTCGATGATTCAGTGAATTGAAATGTTCTTTGGGGGCAGTTTGGTGCTTTTTCTGACTTTTGTGGCCATGTTCAGTCCCAGATGAAAGACCTTTTGAAGAAGAACTAGTATAGCTTATATCACTTTTTGCACTGTCACGTCGATGCCTGGGAACAGCCTGGTGCTGTTGTTGATAGATGAGGTCCCTTTCAGGATAAGAATGTTTGTTCGAGCAGGAGGTCTTGCTTGAATGTGAGTGCCGATTGGAATGGGAGCGCTTACTTGAGTGAGAATGCTTACTGGAGTGCGAGTATTTGCTGACATGGGAGTGAGCAGTTGATGTTATGGAACTAGCACTACTTCCAGGCCAGCTTCTGGTCATTTTTGACTTCTTTTCTTTTTTATGTTCTGGCTTCGGAGACAATGCCTTTGGAGACGTTGAAGTTTGACCAGGGCTCAAGGGCCTGTTAACATCTGTTACCCCAAGTGATGTAAGTCTTGATGGGCTAAGTACCTGCCTTGTGATTTCATTCAGAAAGGCAGAAAACTTCATCTTCTCCTTCACAAAGTTCTTATGAGCCTCTTGTTTCCTTTTCTCCAGCCCTTTCTCATCCAAGTCTCCAACACCAGCATGATCTGTTTGCCTTGACAAAACCTCCATAGACTTGGTCTTTCTTATGTTTGCAGCCCCTTTAGCACGATTATGTTGTTGCCCCTTATTGCCCTTTTCATCCTTTTCTTGAGAATTTGTTGCAGTCTTCTTGGCAGTCCCTGCACTTTTTTCTTTGACAGTCAGGTTCTTTTCCATGCTTGTGGACTTCTTCAGTTGGCCAGCAGCATCCAATAAAGGCATTGTATCTACATCATCCTCATCATCCTCAAAGGCTCTCCGTCCTCTGCTGATATCCATACATGATTGTGAGTACTTTGGACGTTGAATAGCTCGCTTGGACTCAGTAGGCAAAGGGGCATTTTCCAGACTGGATTCGGAAGACCACGAAGAACATGAACCAGAGGAAGAGGAAGAAGAAAAGCTAGAATTGGAGAAATATGATTTGGAGGAAGAAGATGAAGAGGAATTGGAGGAGGAAGAGGAATCAGAAGAAGAGGAATCAGAACTGGATGAGCTTGATGAAGACTTTGACAAAGAACTAGAGGAAGACCCAGAAGAGTTTGAGGAAGTGACTGAAGCTTTAGAGTGAGTTTTCTTTTTCGGTGTGTGATGTTTATCCTGATGTTGTGGATAATGATGATGATGGCTATCAGTTTGGGGGTGATGATGGTTATAATGCTCATGACTGTGATGACGACCACTGCTGGCATCTGAAGCACTATAGATAAAAGAAAAAAATAATTAGTGGATCTTACTAAGGTACTAATTATTAGTTACTACTACTATTATTACTTATTAAAACCCCATTACTTATTTATGTATAAATTCATCCCACACTCATTTGTGCTGTAGATGTAATGGAGGCCAGCTAGTAAGAGCTGTGCAGGTAAACCTCACTCCTCTGATTTCAAAAGGGGCACTAGTAACTGACACTAGAGGCTGCAGTCTTTTGCGTCTTTGTTGGCATGCCCACCTCCCATGCCGGAAACTCCAGTTGGAATCCCATGGTCAAATAGAACCGGAGGGGTTGCGTTGGTGGCGTGACCTGGATGGAGGTGAGGTTTAAGGGGGTGAGTGTAAAAGAGGCCAGCTAGTAAGAGCTGTGCAGGTAAACTTCACTTCCCTGATCTCAAGAGGCACAGTAACGACTAACGCTAGAGCTTGTGGTCTTTACCAACCTTGTTAGTGTGCCCACCTCCCATGCTGGATACACCAGCTTAAATGCTGTTTGGTGTGTGGCGAGTAGAACCAGAGGGGTTACATAGACATGAATGATACCTAAAACCATGTGCTTTCTTTTGATTTGGGCTAGTCAACAACCACTCAGGAGACCCTAGCAACAACCTAGCAAAGCCCTAGAAACCACCCATAACACCATAGCAACCACCCTGAATACCCTAGCAACTGTTTAGCAACAGCACACATTTTCTTAAAGCTGCAGTCTGTAAGTTTTGCCTCTTTGTCACCATGATCGAAACCTGCAGTTGTAGTTATTTGTGGAATTATCATCTTTTTGTGGGTTGTGCATCAGTACGGCTCCTCAGCGCAGATGTATCTGATGTTTTGAGGTGTATGTGAGGGCTGTCAGTCAACTCATCAGTGTGGACATTCACTGTACTTCGGAATTACAGATACTATGTCTTGGAAGTATGTCCAAATAAGAAGTTTCGCTGGAAAATGTCATCTGAAAAGTAAGTAACATGTCTGCCAGTTTTGTTCTGACCAACTGAAAAAAAAAAAAAGTTTTACAATAAATTGTGCTACCAATGGTGTTTAAATCTAACAATCGCAAATTTAGCTCAGATCACGTCAAACAGTGCAAATTATTATTATTGTTATACTTTGTTCTCAAATTGTTAATGGTAACAACATCAGCATTGTGTGACTACATATTTAGTGTGTTTTAGTGTTATCTGTAGATTTCAGTTTCTGTATAATCTAATACCTAATTGTCATCAAATGTCATTGAAAGAAATTGTTCTTTTAACCTCAAAAAGCAATTTAATCAATTTCCTTAAAACTCATTCTAAAATGACAAGTTTAATTATTCCAGCTGCTGTAAGAAGAGGCTACAAATGATCTGCCGCCTGCAGCATTCACACATCCAATATAGCCTACTAGCCGGGACTCCTTTACAGGGACGTGCACAGGGGGGTGGCCCGGTGGCTAGAGCCACTGACCCTTTGCCCTCATCGGCTGAGTTGCCCCTCTCACCAATCCCCCTATCACCCCAGCTCAAAGCGGTCTGTTCCTGCTCCGCTAAAGATCCGCTGATTCCGCTAATCCGCTCCGTGTTTTCCCGCCTGCTCCGCAGCATCACTCACGATCTGTGTGCCGCTCTCTGGAGTGGAGACAACAGTTCCCAATGTTGTTGCATTAACAGGTATATGCATTACAATCCACATTACAGTCAGTGGATGATTCGCTGAATTAGTAATTTGGTAGTTTGTTTCAGTATTTCTGTCAGTAATGATTTGCTCTCAGTCTTTTAAAAGTGATAACAACAAAATATCCACGTTCTTAGAATTAGAATGTCTAATCAAATTATTTAACCCAATATAAATATCTAATATAAATAACCCCAAATTTGCTGTTGTTGGCACACTTTGTAGACAAAAAAATGCCTTCACAAAAAAAGAAGACAGAGACAGAGAGAAAGAGCGAAGGGAGGCTGCTAAAGGCAGTTCAACATTGCAAACACGAATTCAAAGCTCCAGCAAGCCAGCAGGTAAATCATCATATAGAATATTTAGCAGTATGTCACACTTTAATTCTTTTAATTAAGTATATTTCCCATTATAATTACTTGTCTTGATACTAGTAATCTATAACTGTCAGACGCTGGTTTATGTTTTGTGTGCTCCCCACGTGACTCCAATGCCCGTATATGGTCCTTCCTGTTCCTGTCCTCGTTTGTGTGTATTCGTCTCTAGCTGTGTTTATTAATATGTTCCCAGGTGTTCTCCATTGGTCCTGTGTATTTAAAGTGTGTTCCAGGTCTTGTTCTTTGTCAGTCGTTGAACGTTATCCTGTCGTCCTGATGTGTTGAGTCCTGTGATCCCCAGCCTTTGTTAATAAAACCCTTTTGATTTATTCTACTCCGTGTCTCCTCGCTCCTTCGTTCCTCGTTTGTAACGTGACAAACACATCATATTTTATTAAATCCATAATAGTAGGCCTATAAATGGTTAAATTATATAAATGTTCTAAATGAGTTGTTTATTAGTATATAATGTAGATTTATGCTGTAAAATATTAAATGTTTAATGCCATTTTTTACTTATGTGGTGCTCAAGATAAGTTAAAATGATGCAGAAGTACAATGAAAGTATCTGTCCTATCCTAATGAAAGTATTCCTATCATTTTAAATGATCAGAATGTATCTATGACAAAGGGTTCTAAAAATATGGCTTCTTATAAAAAAGGGTTCTCATGGCTCAGTTTGACCTGGGTTAGGGGTAAGTTGACCCGAGTCAAGTCAGTGGGTAAGATGCACCATCAGGGTGTAAAATGACCATCTGACCAAATCTGATTCAAACCCATGTAAAATAAATAATAATTTAAAAAAACTTATTTAATTTCCTTTTACAAACAGAATATTTATTTTCATAAAGTTAACTTTAACAACATAAAACCAACCAAATGAAGATTAGATTTCAATATTTAATTGTTTGCATTTCTGAAACAATATGTTGAACACTAAAGTTGTAACCTTCCTAAAATAAATGGTTAAAAATAATATAAATGTTCTAAATGAGTTGTTTATTAGTATATAATGTAGATTTATGCTGTAAAATATTAAATGTTTAATGCCATTTTTTACTTATGTGGTGCTCAAGATAAGTTAAAATGATGCAGAAGTACAATGAAAGTATCTGTCCTATCCTAATGAAAGTATTCCTATCATTTTAAATGATCAGAATGTATCTATGACAAAGGGTTCTAAAAATATGGCTTCTTATAAAAAAGGGTTCTCATGGCTCAGTTTGACCTGGGTTAGGGGTAAGTTGACCCGAGTCAAGTCAGTGGGTAAGATGCACCATCAGGGTGTAAAATGACCATCTGACCAAATCTGATTCAAACCCATGTAAAATAAATAATAATTTAAAAAAACTTATTTAATTTCCTTTTACAAACAGAATATTTATTTTCATAAAGTTAACTTTAACAACATAAAACCAACCAAATGAAGATTAGATTTCAATATTTAATTGTTTGCATTTCTGAAACAATATGTTGACCACTAAAGTTGTAACCTTCCTAAAAACACACTAAACAGAGGGTTTGTTGGCCATTGGGGACTACAGAAAGTTATATCTGATTATAATGCGATGAAAAGCATTTTCTGGTTCTTATCAGAGAAGGATTTGGTGCACTTGTACACTGTTCCTATCAAATAAACTACAAATAATATGATAAACTAAACCAGAAATATCACATTAAAATACCAGTTTATAATTCAGAGATTTAGCTTAACTACAGTGCCTTATGGTGGGGTAAGTTAAAATGTTGACTCAATTTACCCCACAGCATTTGGCTCACTTTGCCCCATAGCTGCCATTTTGGAAAAAATAGCTACTGTTTCTTACCAGTTCAGGCTAATATTTAGCTAAATTATTTGCATGGTTTTATATGTTGCTAAATCACCTATGTATCATAAATATTGTTAGACCTGGATAAATTTGCTTTGATGTAACAACCATTACATCTGTTATGCTCAAATTTTACTTTGACAAGCAAAAAACAGTTTTTAAAGTAAAGGGGTGCCTTCCATTCCCCCCATGTGATTCTCCTTTTCACAGTCTGGCAGAAATGATGGGTGGTTCCAAAAAACATGGTCACATGACAGTAAAAGTGTACAGTTGCCAAGAAACGGGGGGTGGCTCCACTTACCCACTGGCTCAACTTACCCCACTCTCCCCTACTTCCATTGAAGATGAGGCAGAAGCAGGCTCAGAGTGAGGAAGAGCCCATTCTTATCAAAACATCTACAGTAAAGTCTGAAATTATTACAGAGTGTGCTGTCTTCTCTTTTAATTGCATATTTGTAACAACTGGATAATTTGTATTAACAAGCACCCACCCCCCTAGTGCCCCTTTTTTGGTTTGGGCCACTGCCCCTCAAAATGTCTGTGCACGGCCCTGCTCTTTTATATATACAGACGTGACGAATAATGACGAATAGCGGCAAACTTGGAAAACATTTTTACAAGCTTACCATTATGAATTGTTGAAGGTAGGAGATCGTTTTGAACACTGATTGATCATGTACTTGCTCAATAATTGATCTTGGATCATTTTTAACCAAAGAAGGAACGGAATGCAGCTTTAAGAAAGTACTGTTGTTTCTAATATTGCTAAGTTTTTGTGCGTCAAGATAACAACCATCTGTATATACATTGTGAATGTTTATATTTATATATAAATTTTAAAAATGCTTCTCTAATGTTTCTTTTCTTACAAATATATATATTTTTATTACCTTTTATCCTCATTTTCCTCTGGAAGGTGTGCACCACGATGGTGATGTTGGTGACGATGAGACGAGTGTCGATGCTGATGATGATGATGGAGTTGACTATGGTGATGTATCTGATGATGAGCCATTGTCTATATTCTTGCTTCTCGTCAGAAAGAGAATTAAATTGAATTAAATTGTTCTTGCTTTGTACAACTGCTTGTTTCCTGAGCAACAAATAATCCAAAAGTGTAATGGAAAGTACTGTGGGAATACATAATAGTAAAGTTTGGTAGTGGTAATTTAAAATGTAAAAATATGTATTGCCAGTTACAAAGCAACAAACAAATTGTTTGGTAAAGCATGGAATATCTGACTGAATTACTGACATTTTATAAACTGACATTTAGATTTTAGATCTAAACAAATGGGTTTATATAATATACAATATACTTGATCTAAGAAATATAAACAGGAATTAAAAGAAAATACTTAATGAATACTTACAGGTGTCAGATAAAATTTTAAAACATACCTCATATTTTTTTAATTAACATAAAATAGAAACTGTTACAAGTTAGCTATGTGATATTGCAATATCTTACCGCAAAATGTTCAAAAGAGAGAAAAGAATCCAGACCTCCTCAAAGGATTAAAAAAAAATAAATATTTTGTAATATCAATTTAAAAGCACAATTTCAATTCTTAATTTCAAACAAATGCAACTTTGAGCAAACAAATGTTACTTTCTTGAAGGGTTCAAGAGAGATGATGAGAGCTCTGGCATTTTCACAACTTTTCTATCCATGTCTGTTCGTCCCTTTTATCTGACATGGCTGATTTTCCAACAGTCATCAGCACAGTGTGAGCACCAGATGTCAATAATTCCTATCTCATTGTCTGAAGTGCCCATGGCAAATTTGCGCAGCAATGACAATAACATCAATTCACAGCTAAAATAACGTTTGAAGGGGAGATTATTTTCCATGGTAGGCACTAGTGGCTGCCTCTTTTAATTTTGGGGGCCATCAGATAAAATAAGCTGCATGCATGTTTTTCAATTATGCTTTTAGGTCTTTAGAAATCATTTATAAGTATAAATAAATACATTTTTGGAGTTTTCACCAAGTGACAGTCTCATCTTTTAATTTGACCTTGTACATATTTTTGCCGTTTTAATAAAACACTGGTAAATTAGTAACTTGACATATACATATTGCACTATGGTTCACAGTTTCCTTTGCTTCAGGCCTGGGCTTGTATCTGTCATCACTATTGATGCATATGTTAATGCAACAGGGCTGATGATTCAGTCTGAGAATGGAATCATTGAGAATCAATTTGAATTTACAACATTAATCATAATACACGTTCACAGGCACATGTTTGCCCTCACCGTCCATGCCACCATTTAACTATGTGAGCCATCCTAATTACAGCACTGATGCCATAGATGAAAAAAATAAAAACTATGAAACTGTAGGGGCATCTCCAGGGTCTGTGGGTAGGTATGTATTTGTTCATTCCATTCCATGCTAGAAACCATCAATGATCAATTATGTAACACTGGTCAGGCACCCAACCATAATCAATGTCAAACTGGAATGAAATTTAACCTTCAGAAAAAGAACAAATAGACACAGACCAAATCACAGCTGAGTCCTAAATGAAAAGCCATACAAGGATGATAATTTCCTATCAACTTCCTCATATTATATAATACCAGAATTCACACAAGGACATTACAGTATGTGAATTCATTGCCAACGTGTCTTCAGGAACTATTCACCCCTCATTGATTATTTTTGTACTGCTGTGCTGTAGTGCCATATTGGATTTTTCTGTCCCAGTGTAATTCTCTGTCATTTTAAAATGAAATATACAAATATAAAGAAACTGATAAGTATTCACCCCATCATTGTTTAACAACCTAGGCTAGGTGAAGTTTGCAGGCAAGATAACTGACACAAATGCCTACCTAAACAAGATACATGTGTGCAAGTGAATCACGTTTAGTTGCTTGATTACAAGAAATCTTTGGTCTCACAATTATAAAATCAGACCAGTCAGAGCAGGTGAAGATATGACTGATATGGTGAAGATATGACTCCTAACTTAATCTGATTGAGCTACAGGCATCACAAAAGAGAGACATGACTAACCAACTAGACAAGAAGAGGAGGAAGTCCTCATTTGACCTTTTATATGCAGATTTATGTTTATGGTAGCCTCATCAACTTGCACCTATTATAAAATTAAGACTATCAAATGATAATTTTCAAAGTTATTTTGAAGATCTTTCAGAGTTGCAGAACACAGGATTTGTAACAAATTTAATGTCCATCGCAATGGACATCAGGTCTTGAAAGATATCAGCAGCACCTCATGAATTAGTTATGTATAACAGGTTGAGAAATTTGTGGAAGCATTTCAAAGCTAAATACAGAGCTACAAATTCTAATGTTTTATGAACATTGATGTTAATTAATGAAATTAATATTAATATGATTTAATTTATGTGATCAAAGTGACCATAGCCTGTCAATCAACTTTCATTGGTTTTAGTGAGAAACAGCCATAGTGGATGTGAGATCAGTGAATACACCGCAACACACACACTGATGCCTTGATGCTATAATGCACACAATCATATATTCATCAAAACAATCAGCAAGTACAAATAAACCCATTCACATACACACAATACTCGGATTCACCCACTTCAACCAACAAAAAGGATCAAGCGGGTTTTTTTGAGACTTCGTATCATCTTACCTTTTTTTCCACATTCTTACTGCATTGTTCATTCTTATAGTATGTGTTCTTTTCAAAATCTTAAACACTAGTTCAAATATAGTGCACAAGCTCTACTTATGTATGGTTAAAATATGGGGATTTTTTCTTCAGTCCTGGTGTCCATTATAGTGGACATGAAAAAAATCTAATAAAAAAAATTAGTTGGCACATATCTTGTTTTTTAGACTTATTTCTATATTGTAGAAGAGCAAATATCAAGTGGATAAAAAAAAATTTTGTTCAGTGAAAAAAATTCAGGTCTGAAGGGGTTAAAGCGTTATCTATTGATTCTACAGCTTATAATTTATTACGTATGATGGATCTGTATGAATATTAATTTAAAACGAATGCTTTATAATTATTGTTAAACTAATAGATTAATTATAATAATATAAATCATAATAATTACATAAATCATATAAAATATTTCTAAGTAATTATCATTAAAGCCAGCCAATTTTGTGTGGTTGGGGGGGGGGGGGGGGGGGGGGGGGGACTGTACAGTATAGTGACCTTTAAATTGGAGAAAGAGAACCTGGGGTAGTGACTTTTTTTTGCGTCAGACATGTGTCACTTTGCTCAGATCTGAGTGGTCCAATTTCAGTTTGAGATCTCTAACCCAGAACATAACTTGGAGCAGGTTAGCTGTGGAACACAAGTTACTATGGCAATGAACACTGCTAAAAGCCAAGCCACTTTCATGGTACCAAAACCCAGGATTGATGCAAATTAAACTGAAATTTACCTGGCTAGCCAGCTAATCCGGCTTCATGGTACAGGCCCCAGATCAGTCTCTCAGACTCCTTAGCATGCACTGATCCACTACAGATTGTGTTGACATGCTGATCACACTGCATACCACAAAACAAATGTTCTGGAACCATGTTGGAACATAGAGTAAACAATAGATGCGCATATGGATACTATGATGATCAAGTGCTCACTCTAGTGGTGAAATCACAACATGCAGCAATGATTGCTCAACATACTGATTTCTGTTAGTATTCGGTTCCCATAAAACAAAATATGTAAAAAAAATTTAAATATCTATAGCTCAACTAATCAATAATTTAAAAAGACCAAAATACATTTTTTAAACATTTAATTTAGCCAGACAGGATTTATTAATATAGGTAATATGAAAAGAGTATTACATATTGTACCAGTGATCATCCCTTCTGCCAACATTTTATCATAGGAAAAATACTTGAAACTTTTAACAACAGGATGCACACTTTCAACTTTCACAGGCTACTACTCCAAAATGCTATTTAATAAAATAACAAAAGTTTTTAACAAAACTGATTAATCAAATATGAAAAAACAATGTTTTTCAACATTGTCATTTAGAGATTTACTGATGATTGTGACATTGTGAAAAATGATCAGAACAACAAAACTGTTTGATCTCTTAAAACATGCTTTTAGTTAAGATTTTGCAAGCAGGAAGAAACAGAGGGCAGTAAGCATAATGAACAATAATAAAAGTAATAAGTTGAAAAGTATGACGTGTCCTGAAAATGTCCTGAGCATGTGGGGCACTTTAGAAATTTCATTCAACAACCAGTTCAAAACTTTCGGCTTCCTCAAACTCAGCATTCATCTTTGCTGCAAGATTGTCCAACTCTGACATCTGAAAGAGCAGGAGAAAAATTAAAACCAATCTAAGTAAATAAACAAGAAGCATAATGAGGCAACCCTGTTTGAAATTCATTTATGCAATTCCACTTGAAGTAGAAATTACGGTACACTATTAAAGATTCTTTAACATCCATGGAACCTGTCCATTACACAAAAGCTTTTTTATAGTGAAAAAGGTTCTTTAGATTATTAAAACATTCTTCACACTAAGAAACTAAATTCATTCTTTTAAGAACTGTTCACTGAAAGGTTCTTTGGGGAACCAAAATGGTTCTTTATGGCATCGCTGCAAAAACTCCCTTTTGGAACTGTTTTTTTTTTTTTATTTATTTATATAATTTCTAAAAATATATGTATTTTCAATAATTACATTTTGCTGAACATGTACTCATCCTCGGCCCATCCAACATGTAGATAAGATTTGGAGGGATTTTGCATTATATCACAATGGATCCTCTGCAGTGAATGGGTGTCATCAGAATTAGAACTCAAAGCTGATAGAAACATCACCATAATCCACAAGCAATTTACACCACTCCAGTCCATCAATTAACATCTCGTGAAGTGAAAATCTGCATGTTTGAAAGAAATAAATCCAGTGTTCAGGCATTTTCTCTATAAACCACTACTTCTGAGTCTATAGTCCATAATAACACTTTCGCTGGTGTTGTCCTCTCACATTAAAATCTGCCAACATGTTTGTTTAGAACTGCTCTGGACCATTTCTGCTTGACAGAAGTACATGATCTATGCATATTTGCATTCTCCTGATTCAGACAAGATGACTTTTTCACTGGAGAAATGAATATCACTGATAGAGGACTCGTTTTTTTTGGCCAGAAGTAACAGTTTGAAGTTAAAAACGTCTTCTAGATGGATCTGTTTCTTACAAACACAAAGCTTTTCACTTCACAATACATTAATTGATGGACTGGAGTTGTGTGGATTATTGTGATGTTTTTATCAGCTGTTTGGTGGCACCCATTCACTGCAGAGGATCCATTGGTGAGCAAGTGATGTAATGATAAATTTCTCCAAATCTGTTCTGATGAAGAAACACTCATCTACATCTTGGATGGCCTGAGATTGAGTGCATTGTTAGCAAATTTCCATTTTACACACTCCACCTTTAAATTTAAAGAGATGTTTTATACCACTATGTCCTCCTTCTTCCCCGACTCACTCTCACCTTTATCTGTTGTACGCGCTTCCGCCTGGTTGTCTTCTTCCCCAGACACACACCCGGGATGTTTGGATCAATATCTGGTGGGTTTGACGTGCTGTCTTCAGCAGCGGAGATGTTGAAAGAACCCAGTGAGATGGACATAGAGCCCAGAGGAGCTACTCTAGATCCCT